TCCCCGGAATTGAGTCTTTCAAGTCATCGAGTCCTGTCTATCTTTTGCCTCAAACTCCGTTGAGACATATGGCATTGGCTTGGCTTGCCATCCTGGTCGTATAAAATTCGTCGTATAGAATCGTGGATGCTGTGAGTCGGCGACCCCACTTGTTGAACTAGTCCAAAGCCCGTTTATCATACCTAGTTACCAAACGATGCCTATCTAGTCTAGGTTGTCTAGGTACCCTGTCGACTAGGTCAGTATTCTCCATTCCCCTTCACCCAAGTGGCTTCGCGAAAGTGGATCGCAAACGCTGTTCAAAACGTGTACCTACATGAGTGCGTGCATCGGCTTTTGTTTTCCCAAGTCTTGCATAGAAGTACTGTACTTTCAGGTCTTAACTCGATGCGGTCCGCCACAAAGTCTCATCTGAAAAGACTCCAGCCCAGCTAATCCCAAAAATTCCAGCGAAAAGTGGTGTGTCGGGAGATCGCATGTCGGCGATGAGAACCAGTGATATTGAATGCTTGGCTTGAGTTTAGATAGACGAGACTGCTGGTGATCCGCCAATCGCAGTGCCCATGTACGCAGGGTGGGCCATGTTTCAGCCTACCATTGTGCACCGGTCTGCCCCAGCCAACGGACCGTGCCCGCGATGTGGAGGAAGAATGGAGGCCAGAAGGAGATTTGAAGCGACAGTGTTTTGTGGCCCGAGTCTTGACTCTGTGATGGCGGTGGTGGTGATAATCGTGGTGATTGCCGGGGTGAGAGATGGCTGATGATGGCTGAAGGCTAATGGCGGTGTTCTTCGAGAACGCTTTTTACATACGGGATCAGGACATCCTCTAGACAGCCTCAGGCACCAGTCTGTGTTCGAAAATGCTCTTGCTTCTAGCCATTGATTGTTCCACTTGCTCACAGATATGTCTATCACCCTGGAATAAGGTCTAAACATTAGAAGCTCAGTGATCAGGTAATGAACTACACTGTTGCAAGATAAACGGAAAATATCTTATTTGTGGTGGAAGGTCCATCTTCACACGAAACAAGTAAATTGTCAATGGGATTCCAGACCAGAGATGACGCATGCAGGCCACTCAATCATCAGTGAGGCGATTCTTATTACCTTAAGCACATGTTTAAGCTTGACTAGAGCATCTTGTGAAGTGAACTGCAAAGTAAAGGGGGATGGTTATCATGGTTGTAGCGCATATGTGCACGTGAGATGAAGTCATACAAAGTCTATATCTCATTTTCGTCCTCGAAGGCGAGACGAAGTGTCCTCATTGAACTACATGTAAGTCAATCAACCAGTGCTTGCATGTTATAGAGAATATCCATTCAGCCAGCCTCAAGGGTAAAGGAGTGGTAGAAATGAAGGCTTTTGAATCACGAGTTCGAACATTAGCGAGGTTCAGATCTTCAGGCAGAAAAGCTTCAAATGGCTTTGTATGACTTCGTATCGCCCAACAGTCAAGGCAAAGATCGAACTAGCCCACCGACATCCGAGAAGCCCTGGCGCCATCCATTCAGACCCATTCAGACCCAATCGAAGGATTCTTCCCAAGCAAGAATATCTGATGGTCGAAGAGTTCTGGGCCGGTGGGAAATAGTATTAATCCGTTCGCTCGCTGGACGGACGCAGAAACAAAAAGCCGGCCCTCCGCGTCGGCGCGATCATCCCAGTATGAAACTATATCCTCAAATTCCACCTCCCCGAGTCTGCATCAGACTCGATGATAATGTACTCATCTTGTAATTTGGTCGCGAAATAATGTTCGTCGTGTCCTGCTCGTCGCCGACGGCATTCGGCGCTAACCCCTTCAAAAATCTCCCCGCCCAGGCAAGTTTAGCCTGTAAAACCTTGCCTGCTCTTCTCGCGTCTTCCGTCCTTCAACACTCTCTCTCCTCCATCAAACCGGAGCATCGCTCCACCATCCACCATATCATTTTCCCATAGTTATCATCCTTACAGCCAAGATGAACTCCCGCGAGCATCCTGATATGCCTCCGGCCCACTCCTATCCCTCCCCCAACGCGGCGCAGATGAGCCAGGGCGCCATGCAATACTACACCAACCGACAGTTGACTGCCGACGAACTTTTGTCCGCCGAGCTATCGCGCGAAACCTCTGGCCCTGGTCTTGCTGACGGCTCAAATAATGGAGTTCACCACGGTCAATCAATGGTCCTTGGTTCCTCTAACCCCGGTGGTCCTGACATGGGTCGGCCTGCATCCCCAGATCAGCATCAACAACAGCACATGCTCCAATTTACGCCAAGCCAGCAAGTTGGTGTCGACCCGAACCACGATCTAAGCTACGGAGACCAGAGCGCGAGGAGGAAGAGATCGAAGATCTCTCGCGCATGCGATGAATGTCGGCGCAAGAAGGTAACGCGAATTCCCGAATTCCCCTGCTCGCCACGCGCGACGCGGTGCGGTCGAACTGACAGTACCTCTCAATTAGGTCCGCTGCGATGCGAGCTCCGAGTCTGGCGTCGAAACATGCTCCAACTGTCGTCGCCTTGGAGTTGTCTGCCAGTTCAGCCGAGTCCCAATGAAACGAGGTCCAAGCAAAGGGTAAGAATGGTTGCGCGCGTCGGGTTTCAAAATGGGTCTCGCTGATGCGGAGTGATAGCTACATCAAAGAATTGGCGGAGCGCTTACACACACTGGAGAGTCAAATGCAACCTGCTATGGTGCATCCCGACATGCCGTATCAGCCGATGAACGAAGTCTCCTCCCCTCGGGCATACCAGGATTTTTCGCCTCCAATCGACAACGGTCCCATCGGTCGCAAAAGGACGTATTCCATGTTTGACGGGCTTCCGAGTGCCTCGTTCACGCAACCATCGTTCAATACACGCCCCCAGACAGCTTTTGGTTGGTTTACCTCAACATAATCATTATGTCATCTATCTAATTATACCCAGACGCAGGAGAAAGTTCGACCGACCCATGCCATCCTTCCGTGGTCAACAACACAGCACCTAAACCTGGGAATCTGTTTTGGGCAACCGGCAACGAAAATGACCTACCCCACAGCCTCGACATCCCGGATGTCCCGAAGCAAGCAATGGACGAAGATATGACTCCTGTGGATGTGGATGAAGGTGTTCTGAACGCGTAAGTGCCCTTGCCCACAGCTTCTCCGAGAGTGCTGTATGCACCCGGTCTACACGGCCACGTGCTAAACTCCAGTAGCTATTATCAAAGGATACACCCCGTATTCCCAATCCTGCCAAACTCAAAAGAGCGCTTTCTTGAGATTCTTCACCGTTGTGGCCGTGAGCTGCAAGAAATCTTTCTGTACAGCCTTTACACTGTGACGCGTGCCAACTTGGAGCGCCTTAGCGGCTCTTTTGAGAGGGTCACCTCCTACGAAAACGCACAGGATCTGCTTCTATACTACACGCGCCAGCCAGCCATCACGCGGTCAACCACAGTCAACCTCATCTGGCTGCAGAGCATACTACTCATGATCCTCGACTGCGATGCCCGTGGACCGGACAACATGGTTATGAAAGACGGTGTGCCCAAACATACTCTCATCCAGTCAGCAACCAAGCTCGGTTCGGATTTGGTTAAAGGTCTTCATCTGTGGAAGTCTCAGCGGGTTACAGATCCTGACGTTGACTCTGAATCATCTCTTGCCCGACGCAGCTGGGTGTCCTTGGCGATAATGGCGCGGTGGTATGCTATTAGTGTGGCTGACCCAAGTGTTTTGAACACGCTTGACGTTCGCAACCGTGGTGACGAACGAATTCTTGGCTCAGTTACTGCCAGAGTTTGCTGTATGTACCACACTGCAACATTCCATCATTTGATAACGTGGACTAACCACAAGCCTGCTTAGCGTATTCTACCTTCCTCGTTGAATTGGCAAACCTGGTGACAGAAGAGCAGAATCTTTGCCAGTCGAACACCGGCCCTGGCCGGTTAGTTGCTAATAGCATGGCTGCGCGCCTGGAGCTACTTGGGGAGGCCGCAGAGGTTGGAGATTATCGGCGACCTTCCGAGAACGTAGAGGACGGAGCACCCTCCAGCTTCCTCGACAGCTTGCAAAATCAGCTGTACTGGACCTTGCGATTATTGATCAAGCGCCATATCTTTATCTACACGCCCTACGAGATCATCTACGCCGCCGAAGAGGTTGTCAATGAAATGCACAGAGCCAGCTCACAATACCGTCTCACGTCTCCATTCGATATCCACAGTCTGGCTCTGGCAAGTATGACCCTGCTCGAGGCCACGGTCCTCCCGGAATATGCCAACGAGTGCTGGGACTTAATCAAGAAGGTCGAGGAAATTCTTGATCACCGCGCTAAGCGGGCCGCGGAATCAGGTGAATTTGGCGACATCTTCTACACCCCAGCCTGGGACACCAAAATCCGCACCTTCATTGAATGGCGACGCACCAAAGCACAGGAGAGCCAGTTCCATGACTCAACCATTGGCGGCGGCGGCGTCAAGAGCGGCTCTGCAGCTCCTCCAGTCCTGGGTCCGAATGAGCAGCGTTCTCTCCAACACCTGGCTGACCTTGCCGTGGGCGCCGAGGGCCAAGTGGCTGCGGCTACGAACGCTTCCTCCCCGCCCCCTGTTATTCCACCCGCTGAAAATCACTTGACCGCCACCTCACCCAATCTGGCTTCTGGCGCGCAACCCCAAGGTCGTATGGTTGTGGACTTCACCCTCCTCACGAGAGAAGGCTACCTGAACGTCTTTGCTGGCTTGATCTATCATCGATCCCGGTAAAGCACCCTCAATTCTCTAGAACTGTTACTTACCGGGTATTGCTATATCTCGGAACTTTTATCTACTTGTGTCATTGTATCTTGAGCTGGAAACATTTTCTCTTCTCCCATCCACTTTTACTTTTTCAAAACTGAAAGCATTGCTGTTTATTTCCGAACCATTGGCTTTTAATCTAGCAATTTCGCGAGGCAGTCAACATGGTGCTATTTGCCGCGATCGTGTATTTTTAGGTGGAATTCTATTCATTACAAAGCATGCTTTGCCTGCATTCCTACGCTTCTTTCTATTACTTCTTGCCCTAGTCGGTGGTAATATAGTGAGATCAAACAAGATATTCCCTCCACAACCCGACGGCCCGTGAAAAAAAAAATATAGCAACATCGCGGCATTTCATGCTTCACGTCAAGAACATCTCTGTGAACTAGAAGGAACACGAAAGGGTTGACGAAACCTTGAAACAGTCGCGCAAAAGATGAACAAGAAACAAGAAGAATAGCAAGGTATCACGAGGGAAATTCCACCAGCCCAAATCACGTACCTCCTTTACTTGTCCCCAACTTCATTCGCTGCCATACACCCTCCACATCCTCACAAAGCTTGAGGAAGGCATCGTCTTCTACGTGGCGACAGATCCAGGACTCAACGAGTTGCTTGCGCTCCGTCGTGGATGCTGAACCATACGATGCGAGATCTTCCGGGGTCGGGAGTGGTATGGTCTGCTGCTGCTGTGTCTGCTGCTGCTGTGTCTGCTGCTGTTGATGTTCCTGGGGTGGCTCTTGCTGCGGCGCTCCCGCTGTTGTGATGGTGGGGATGTTGTTTATGGCTGATTCAAGAGGATAGTGCTTCTGGTGCTGGTCACAGGAGGTGGCTGGCTGCTGCTCGTTGCTTGGGGCGGTGATGAGGCCTGAATAGGAGGGCAAAGGGGGTAAGGGGACTCCAGGGACTGGCTGGGACCCGCCTGGGTTAGCTGCTGGGGCTGGGACTTGCGCGGCTGGGTTCGAGTACTTCAGGACGGTGATTCGGGGAGTTTCAGCCTGAGTTAGGGGGTGCGGTGATGGAGGAGATTGTGTCTTGTTTGCAGGGGCTAGTTCTGGATATGGTCTAGACACTGTGTACTGAAGTTAGAGATGATTTCCATGGGAGTTGAGTTCCAGACCGCGCGCGTCGGAGATATTCACCTGTGCTTCCAAATGCTGCCACATTTCCAGCGGGGATGCCGGTCGTGGCGATTGTGTGAGTCCTCTTCATGAGCGGTCTGGAAAATGGAAGAACCCTCACGGGAGGCGGGTCCAGGTTCGCTGTCTCCAGGGGCAAAGTGGCAGTGGAAGGTCTGGACGGGTCAGCCTCCGAGGTGCCGTGGACCTGTAGGGCAGAGAGTGGGCATTGGCCATTGAGGGACTGCGTACGGTTGCTTTCTGTATACATGTACTTGGCGAGACTGCTGGGTGTATTTGTCGCTAGGTACGGATGGCTGGTGCCTAGGGTGGACGAAGATGCGGACGTTATCGATGTGCCTGGAGCCTCTCGTTAGCCACAAGCTGTCTGGCCGACATGATCTGTGGGGAGCAATACCTGCTGTGACGCTTGGCGTCGGTAGACGAGCATATGTGCCTGGTGCATACACAGGGAAACCAACACCGTTGTTGGGAGGTATTATGGTATTCGGTACTGTCAGCTCGCTTGACATGGAGCCAGGTCTGAAGGATCCTGTGTTCCACTGCGAGGAGGTCTGTTTGTGCATGGGGGCAGGACTAGCTTCTGAAAATGGACAATTTATCTCGCTGAGGATGGCTAGAGCTGCATAGTAGTCCTTTTCGGCTGAGAATTTGATCTGAAAGCGGCGGATCTATGCGCAGGTCAGGCCAAGTCTCGTGGTTTGTATGTGCGGGCCTGAGAATCTACACCTACCATGTTTCCGCGAGGATATTTCACTGCCACACAGGGTAGCTTCACAACGACAGCGAATGATGGCTTCGATGCTTGCCCCTGGGCAGGCTGAGATGGGGTCTTTGTGGCGGCCATAGCAAAGAAGGAGAGATCGAGCTCTTCCTAGTCATAAATCACTTAGCATGAAGCTTATAAAAGGGTAGCGCTGGCGGAGTCTCACCATGATATCGTGGAAACGAAAGATCCTTAGCACAATACTATCCCCAGACAAACTGTTTGTGGCCCGGGGCTTCTCGAAAGTGGCTGTGAGATCATTGTTCCCTATGATATGACCCCAGTTCAATGGGCCTCTGTGACTCAACGATGTGGTGACATGGGAGAACTTGGCTAAGGATAGACGGGCAAGAGGGGTATCTGGAAGTGGCTGTGAACTATAATGATGCATAATCTTTACGGCATGAAGAGTTGAAATGATGAGTTTTGATTTGGGCTTAAGATGTTGGGAAGTAGAGTTGATGAATCTGTAGTCAATGCTTCGAGGGGGCGACAAAAGATATGAACAGGTGACCAGGGAGACAAAAATACTATGTAGGTTGTGAGAAGCCGCCACCCGAACAGACGCCCATCCCCGGTCTGGCAAAGTACTGGTTAGGCTATCCTGATTCAGTTCGAATTGCATCTGATAGATGTTAAGTGATAAAAGTCAGAACATGGTCACAAGTTCTGCTTAAATCTTGAGCAGCTTCATGTTATAGACCTTGAATTTGAGAAGGAACAGAAGTCAATACGAAAGAAGTCAGCTTGCTTCTTGAATGGAGAGATCCTCATGATGGACAGCTTTAATCTAATTCTATATCCTGAGGACGAATCTCTCACGAGACAGTTCTGAAGCCAGCAACTGTGGATTATGGAGATAGAGTCCATGCCTAGTATCTAAGGCATCAAGCCTGACTCAGCAAGATCACAAACAGGTCAAACACCATGGAGAGCGGCAAGTCGGCCCGATGAATGATCCGCGCACGCGCCTGAGGCCAGTAGGAGCAGCGCGGACTTTTGCCTGTGGATGGCAGGACGCTTCGATCGCAGGTTCAGCTTGTCTCTACATTCACATAGCCCCCCTTGGGCTCCAGCATAGGAATTGATTCTCCGTCTTAAGGCACACTATTCGCCAATACAATCCTATTTATTGCGCAGCAATATCTCCCAGATATTTCACCAGAACGTCTATCGCGAACGTCTTGTGTTGTTGTGCCGCCATCGCATCCTCTTCGGCTTCAAGCAGACTGTCTCCGTTAGCTTCATATCGCGTCCAAGCTTCCAGATCGTCGGCCGAACCGTTCATCAATTCCAGCAAGCCAACTTTGAAACAAAACTGGAGCGCGCCCGATCCCGCCACGCGATATTTCGAAGACCATTCATACGATAGGGAATTATTGCAGGGCGACCAGGAAAGGCACAGAAGGCCGCAGAAGGGCTCTAAAGGCACGGACGGTGTGCTTTCACACTCACCCACACCTCGCCTTTTGACCTGGAGGTTCTGGCGCTTGAGCTCTTGCGGGGATCTTGACAGTATCCCGGTTCAATCGCGCCAACCTTGATCCTCAATTGGAGTCAGTCAAAGACAACACGCGAAGGTTAAGAAACAAACAAACGGATTGCGAACTCCCCGGAAACACAGGTCCAAGGGCCCAGGCGTGCTGTAAAGCAAGCCCAAGATGTCCACTCAAACTCCCCGCACATCCCTTCGAGGCAAGTGCTTTCTTGACGAAGTCCTTCCATTTACGGTCGAGAAGCTCAGACTAACAAAGCACAGAGGGTTTGCGGCAGGCTCCCAAAGCAAATCAGCCCTTCATCCCCGACACTACCCCCGCTAGACGCTCACATGTAATCCACGCAAATCAGTCACCACAGCCCGTTCCTCTGACCTTGAGTCATTCCAACTCACCCGCACCGACTGTGAACAACGCCCCGCCCTCGAACGAGAACTGGGAAGGAAGGGATCAAAAGGTGCCTATGAACACACGCGAAGTTGCAACCCCGGGTAACAGACCAGGTCTGTTTCTCAGTATGCATGGCAAAACAGTCAAGCAACCCGACTTTTACGATCCTTACTTCCCCCTCAGATATCTAGAGGTCCCGAAGTGTAAGTGTTCATCGCTTGCAGCTGTTCCTCAACTCGTTTACGTCAACTAACTCGTCTGCTCAGCTGATCACATTTACAAGCGTGCGCATTATGGACTGCAATCAGGCGTTCCGGACGAAGTTGACTTTGCGCTATTTCACCTTGTTCAAATATCCAATCAGCGCTGGGACAAGTTCAAATTCGAGGGCTTCCCATTGTTAGCGGAAACCTTGATGGAGAAGGCTCTAGATGTATCGCTTCTTGTCACAGGGGTCAAGTGGGAGCTCCAGTACGACTTCCGTGAGCCTATGGCCCGCGTCAATGTGCTCAATTCACTATATGGCACACGCGATATACTCGAGAGAATCAAACATATCCCCGTTACATTACCGAAGGACACTCTGGAGACATATGAGTTCAATCATCGTCTACGAAACGTCAAAGAGGCAACTCTGGTACTCCGGAACATGGTACTACTCAAGGAAAATGCATTCTATGTCTCGCGTTATGCCAAAGGCCTTCTTAGAGATTTCCTGGTGATTCTGATCAACCTCCCAGACCAACCACGCCTCAACGAAATCAGAAATGATGCCTTGGATATCGCAGAGGAGGTGACAAAGTTCATGCGGACTGACCCGGAAGATCCACTTTGGATCTCTTTGCTCAGATGCCTAGAGTCTCCTGATCGTGCTCATGTAGTGCGGGCTCTGTGGGCATTGACGCACTTCTCAACTGAGATCGATGAACCAGAAGGCAACCGGGCCATGGAGCGCATGCCCAAACAATCCCTGCAGCAACTATACTTTCACACGCTTCTCGATTTGGATAAAGATATTTTGAGCGGTGCCTTGGACTTCTGGTATCAATACACTCTTTCAAGCGAGAATATCGAGACCATGCTCGATGTTTTCGATTTCCCCAGCATCTTCGTTCCGCGCATGATTGCACTACTGACGTACGAAGCCCGAGCCACCAAGATGGAAACCGTTCTACAAGATGAGAAGGTTGCACCACCGCCATCTGAGATTCCTCGTGTACCGTCTGAGCTTCTGAAGGATCTGATGGAATTATCAGAGCCTGAGCGTAGCTCACGCTGGCTGAGGTGCTGCTTCGTTGAGGACCCGGAATGCGAGATCACACAGATCGCCCTCTGGCAGGCTTACCAGAGCCGGTTCGCTGATCCTCGCGTACCGGGAGGTGGTGTTCTCCCTGCCGCCGAGTTCATCAAGAATGTGAGCACGACTTTCACGAACGCTCAAGCACAAGTCATTAATGGCCCCGGCTCCTCCACTCGATTTATCATCAAGGGCATCCGCCCACTGGAGACAGCGTACACCTTCCAGGGCTTCCCTTACATCTACTGCAAGTGGGCCGACGACTCCAAACCCACCAAAACCTGCCAGCGTGCCTTCTCTACCCCGACGGACCTCCGCAACCACGTATTTGCCGATCATATGAACCTCAAGCGCACCGAGACACCGGGCCACTACAACCTGGACAATGCCCAATCGGCTATCCACACTTGCCTTTGGGAAAACTGCACGAGATTCCGCGGCTCTAGCGCCAGCGCGAACACCGCCGCGGTCGCTGGCCACGTCGCCTCCCACCTCCCCGAAGAACGTCCCGCAGATGCAGAGGCTCCCGTTTCCAAGAGGGCGGTGCTCCAAGAGCGTATTGTGCGCAAATGGTTCTACCTCAACACCCCAGTCAGTGAGCGCGGCGAGCCCGTTGGGGTTGCGTACAAAGCCGCCTTGGTCCTTCGCAACATTGCCCGCAACCTTCCCAGCGGCGTCGTCCAGAAATACAATGGACTTCCCTGGAAGAAAGCTGTCTTCTTGAGTCACCGCCCGAAGATCGTGGAGGTATGGGATCGAAACCGGTCGCTGCGCAAGGAGCTCACGGAATTGATCATGTTGATCGAGAAGGAGGATTACTATTGAAGAGGAAAAAAGAAGAAAACCAAACAGAACAAACAAGAAGAGAAAAATGAACACAACCCTTTTTCCCCTTCTTGCCCTCTTGTGTCACGATGATGAAGTAACCTACATGTTTCGGCTCCGCCCGCGACGATTCGAGGATTGATATCTTTCTCTTCTCTTGTGCTACTATATGACAAGGTGCTATATTATCACATCTATATTTCTTTCCCCCTTATTTCTTCATTCTATCAGTGTCTTTTCTCTAATCCCCTTATCTTTCCGTGGGTCTGTCCCGTCGCTTCTTCTCGCTATCTTGGTTTTTGTACAAATACCCTGGCTTCGTGTTCTTTATCACAGTTCTTCATTTTCAGTATTCCTTCATACTAAAACTTAGTGTGTTCTCCTTGAAGTGTATCCGATTCCTCTCTCTTTCCCTTTCCCATTCAGTACTGCTTTACCTCACTTATCCACTCACCCAAGAGTGGGAAGGATGGGCGTCTTCCCTCGACAAGTTCGACAACGGACTGGGAAAAATGGGAGTCATAGGGGGGTCCATGATACTATACTTCGGAATGACTATCTGGCGTCTCGGGCGGGTGGCGGTTCTGATCTACTAGGGCGGCTTTTACGAGGGTAGTAGAATTCTTTTTCCATACTTTTTACCATTTCAATACGGAGAAACATGAACTTGGAGAATCTGGGCTTGCTTTTTTTCTCTTTTTACTGTCTTACCCCCTTCTCTCTTGCGATGAAGTATATCACACTGTACACGGCTCAATTTCCTTTCTCCCTCAGCATTTCCCCTTCTCCTTGCTTTGATCTGCAGGTCATGGGTGGTGGTTCTCTTGTCGCATTTTCTTTTTTTTCTCTTGACAAATTAGCTAGTGATTGATGTATACTACAGACGGTCACGGATAGGTAGGCGTGCGTCGTTGAGGAGTGGAAATATTAGACGATAATCTGTTCTTTCGCACAAATCTACTTTGAAAAAAGATACAGAGTCAGATGTACGTCCTTGGAATGTGATTTGTGGAACCAGTGGAGATGGGCAGGTAAGGAGTGGGGAATCGGTATTCTTGGTCTATCATCGCTCACCTTTGAGTCGATAAAATGTTATTTATGTTACGACCATCACCGTAGACCTGGCAAGAAATATATGTCCGTGAGGAAGTTCTCGTAGTTCATCCAGGCGGTCGTCTCGTTGGCGGAGTTTGCGTACCCCAGATCAACGGCGTCCCAGACACTGGGCCAGGAGGCGGCGTTCTCCAGGCTTTCGGGGGTGTCTAAGGCAGCCATGGCATCAACTGGAGCGGGTGGGCCCTGGTGTGGTGGTTGCTGTGCGCTTTGAGAGGGTAAGTTTGAGGTGCAGACTGGTGGCGGTTGTTGCGGCGGCTGCTGCTGCTGCGGTGCCTCCGAGTCGTACAGAGGAGCAGAAGAGGAGATCTGCGGTTGGGATGGTTGGTGAGAAGAAGATGGTAATGAGGAAGAG